TGTGATCTATCTCTCTCTCTCTCTCTCTCTGTCAAATAAATAAATAAAAATTAAAAAAAAAAGAATGGGAGAATATGTTTAAAAAACATATATCCAAAAGACATGAGAAACTCCTACAACTCAATAGCAAAAAAACAAACAGTAAGATTAATATATCAGCAAAGGACTTGAATAGACATTTCTCCAAAGACATACAAACAGCCAATAGGCATAAAAAGGCATTCGAGCTCACTAATCATCAGGTAAATGCAAATCAAAATCACAATGAGACACACCTCATACCCATTACAATGGCTAGTATCGAAAGGATAAAAGATAAAAAGGTTGGTGAAGATGTAAAGATATTCACAGCCTTGTACACTGTTCATGGGATTGTAAAATGGTATAGCTGCTATGAGCAACAGTATGCAGTTCCTCAAAAAATTAAAAATAGGACTATTATATGATCCAACAACTCTACTTCTGGGTATCTATCCAAAAGAATTGAAATCAGGATCTTGAAGAGATATCAGTACCTCCATGTTCACTGCATCATTATTCATAATAGCCAAGATGTAGATATCACCTAAATGCTAACCAACAGATAAATGGATAAAGAAAATGTGGTATACATGTACAACAGAATGTTATTCAGCCTTAAAAGAGGAAATCCCTCCATATACAACATGGATAATCCTCAAAGATATTATGCAAAGTAAAGTAAGCCAGTCACAGAAGGACAGATACCGCATAATTCCACTTACATGAGGAACTTAAAAGAGTCAAACTCATAGAAGCAAAAAGTAGAATGGTGATTGCCAGGGGCTGGGGGAAGGGGGAAATGGGGAGTTGATATTAAAAAATCATAAAATTTTAGGGCACCTGGGTGCCTCAGTCAGTTAAGTGTCCAACTCTTGAGTTTGGCTCAAGTCATGATCTCAGGGTTGTGAGATTGAGCACCACATCAGACTCCATGCTGGAAGATTCTCTCTCTCTTTCTCCCTCTGCCCACCCCCTCTCCCTCTCTAAAAAACAAACAAACAAACAAAAACACAAAGTTTCAGTAATGCAAGATGAATAAAGTTCAAGGGATCTGTTGTATGATTTGCATCTAAAGTTAAAAATACTGTGTTATACACTGAAAAATTTAAGAAAAAATTTCATGTTGTATTCTTACCACAATAAAAAAATATGAACCAACCAATTTTTTTTTTAAATAATGGTGTAGCTTATAAAAGACGGTGACTTAGATTCAATGACACACCATTAAGTACTGAAGGACTGAGCCAAGAAGTATGCTAACTGCCTTCCATATGTCAACTCATTCAGAACTCACAGATATTAAGGTAGATATTCTTGCTTTACAAATAACCCTTGCCAAGGTCACAGCCAGTGAGTGAAAGAGTCTGCACAAGAACCCAGGTATATACCCTGCTGCCTTCCTAGCTAGACAAATTTCCATGATGCCAGAACATTAGTCAGAGTTTGCACAGTCCGCTCCTGCCACACTACTCTGTTTCCCACTCCCCACTCATTCCTCCCCACCCAGTGATGAGAACAAGATGCTGGAGTTTATCCCTGAGGCTAATGATCAAATTGCCTGTCTGGCCTTGGGAGAGCCCTACCCTGACCATAACTATCTTCCCTCCGCCTTTCAATTACTACCTTCCAAGAACTATAAACCTAAAATGTAGGCCAGGTCTCTAAATTTTCTGCAACAGCCTAAGGCACCAGTCTTTTTTATTTTGACCAAACAATTGCAAAATTCCTTGCACCACCTTTCTTCTGACTTGGTCACCCAACTCTGCCATGTGTTTCTGTTGTCAACCTCATAGCAACAGCCCCAGGAGAAACAAGGGTGAACCATCATACAAAGTCCCAGGGACGGAAGGAACTGGAGATGTGCTCTATTATCCTCAGGTTATGGGGACTGATGATGGTTAGTTCTTAAACGTCAGAAGAATATAACATAACAAACTGGGAATCCAAGTTTAAAAGCTGCACTGGATGTCATGAACTAGAAACCTGAATTTATCTTTAGTCATGTGACATTATCTTCAGTTGATGCAAGATGTGCAAAGGAGGCAATATGCAAGGGGAAGGGAAAAAGACCTTAATTTTATAATTTTAGCTTTACCCACCCACTGCACTCTTAACAATCAAATCAATGAAATGTGATCCTATTCCAGCTTCCACATCACCAATTTTAAAAAGGAGAGAGGTGGAAAATCCCAAAGAGATCAAATTTCTTTTCTGAAGTGACAGGCAGCTTTCAGGATTTTAGCTTAAACGAGAATCCAGGTTTCCAAATGTCTAGACATGAGAGTAACACTTAACGATGACAAACCAACTCGCTAAGTAACACACTGACCAAAAATAAAGTCAATACAACATATGATACTAATACTACTTTGGGAAAATAAAAATGAAACAATGAATTATCTATTTTAGACTTCAGTTTTTTCAAATACCACAACTGTCTATAGACATAAAACCATACTTAATTATGTACAAAAGCTAATTACTAAATATCACGCACAGAGATTTTCATGTGCCACCAATATTAAATTAAAAATTAACTCATATTGGGGCAACTGGGTGGCTCAGTCAGTTAAGCATCTGACTCTTGGTCTTGGCTCAGGTTGTGTTCTCAGGGTCATGTGATCGAGCCTTGTGTCTGACTCCACGCTCAGTATGGAGTCTGCTTATCCCTCTCCCTCTGCTCCTCCCCCCCCACATTTGCTCACACACACACTATCTCTCTCAATTAATAAAGAAATAAAATCTTTTTAAAAACGAACTCATATTATATTATGCTCATCTCTTCAAAACTGAAAGAATGAAAATCAATTTTTTGCCAATTACAATTAGTATGGTTAAAGTTTAACATTAATTCGTGTTTGGACTTCACCTGATAGGCCAGTGGTCCACAATTATTTTTCCAGTGATGCAAGGAAATAGACAGAAGCAACAAATATGAAAATGGTACCAAGAGGTCAAGTCTGAGCAAAGAACAGGATAGTGCTGGCAACAAAAGAGAGAGAGAACACAGGAGAAATTTCGTGGCAAAGGGTGGGAATAATGAATAAGGTATTTCGTTGAGCCTGCTGAATCTGATATGCACAGATGACACCCAAAGGGATATGTCAAACAGAAAGTCAGAAAAAACTCATGTGGCCCTCCAGAGAAAAGTCCAGAGAAGATAGACATGGAAGCAAATACCGTAAGAAATAACTGCTAAAATCATGAGAACAGTAATAACACCGAATCACCAAGAGAAAGCATACAGTGAAACTAAGAAAAGCCACAAGAGGCCCAACCCTGGGGTTGGTAGCAATGGGAAGAGTCTGAGAAGAGGGCCAGGATGGAGCAGGTCAGAAGAACAGGACAAACCAAGAGAGTTTTAGGATCTATGCTACAATAAAAAGGAGAGAGACACCTGTATCAGAGATCTGAGAGTCAAGAGTAAGCAGGAAAAAAGGGCTGGGTTGGATTGGGTGGTTTGTTAGCAGAGTCATACAGAAGGCAAAGTGTCAAGAAACTGAAGAAAGGAAGGAAAGGCAGCCATGTCCATTCTCCTGATAAAGCCTGATGACATGAAGGACAAAGTCCTAGGACTGTAACTTGAGAGACAACACAGCAAAGGGGATGAACCACTTTGTCAACCACTCATATCACTAAATTGAGAGAAAAGGCTTCACGTACACCTGGCACAAGCACAGAAAACCTGGATCTAGATAACCATGCTGCCCATTAACTGCCCCCAACACACGCACACACACACATGTAATTTCTAAATGATAATGACTTTTTTTTAGTAGTAATGTGATTTTTTTATTTTTTATTATTTTTATTATGTTCCATTAGCCAGCATATAGTACATCATAAGTTTTTGTTGTAGTGTTCAATGATTCATTAGTTACGTATAACACCCAGTGCTTATCCCAACACATACCTTCCTTAATACCCATCACCTGGTTACACCATCCCCTCACCCACCCTCCTTTCTATAACCCTCAGTTTATTTCCCGGAGTCCAGAGTCTCTCATGGTTTGTCCCCTTCTCTTCCCCTGTGGTCCTCTGCTCTATTCCTTATGATCTATATACGAGTTAAACCATATGATAACTGTCTTTCTCTGCTGGACTTATTTTACTTAGCATAATCCCCTCCAGTTCCATCCACATCAATGCAAATGGCAGCAATGTCCACAACAGCCAAACTGTGGAAGGAGCCAAGATGCCCTTCATCAGATGAATGGATAAAGAAGATGTGGTACGTATCTACAATGGAATATTACTCAGCCATCAAAAAGGATGAATGATAACAACTTCTAACACAGATACAAAAAGAGGACCTGCATTTAATTAAAAGTGTAGCTAGAGGAGTAGATGTCATAAAATACACAATTTGAAGAGCCTGGGTGGCTCAGTTGGTTAAGCATCTGACTTCAGCTCAGGTCATGATCTCGGGGTCCTGGGATCAAGCCTCTCTGTGCAGTTCAGTCTGCTTCTCCTTCTCCCTCTGCCCCTCCCCTGCTTATGGAACTCTCTCTCTCTCAAATAAATAAATAAAATGTTTAAATATAAATGTATATATATATATACACATATAAATACATATATATATACATATATATACACACACACATATACACACATACATTTTGAAATACATCTTATATTTTCTGCCCCAACATTTTATTCAAGAGATTACCTAATTTTTGAAATACCTTGTTGCTTTTATATCTTTTGTGATCTAAATTTGGCACTATCCTGAATCTCTAGAGAAAAAAAAAAACATTAAAAATGTAACTGTTATAGCAAAACATTTACATTGGGATACTTACATTGTGAAACAATCCTTAAAAGCTCCCACATATCAAAGATCTTTCAGGAATAAATGCTCTAGTCTATGCAGTGCCTTAGCACATGCTTTATGTTTACACAAAAATATTCTTTTCAATCATTAAATGACCTACAATGTAGCAGTTATGAAAAATGGTCATGAAAGCAGCAAATACCTGAGGTACTCACAGCTGTAGAGTAGGGATTATGAGCTCCAGTATTTTCAGCCCAGCAGCCACATCCATAAAGAGCAGCCTACGAAAAGAGAAAATAGGTACACAATGTATTTCAGAAATATTATGTGTAATTACTTGCCTTCAACAAAAGACAAAATCATACCTATCTAATAAAGCCTGGTTTAATAATGATGCATAGCAACTGGGAAATAATACCAGAGACTGTGTAAGACCTACCCAAACAATGGTTCTAACACTATTTTAAACTGTATCTTCAATTACTGTATTAATCTAAAATTTTTCAGAAAAGGGCAGAAGAAAGTTTTTAGACTCTCATCAGCAGTAGTTTTTTTCCTTGAACAACCTTTCCCCAATTATAGTTTGTCAGCCAGTTCAGACAAATTCCTCTCTTCTGGCTCATGTGGTTGCCTTAAAATAGTGGCTCTCAAACTAGGTATATGTCAAATTGCTTGAGAAGTTTGGTGATAGGACCGTGGTTCCCAGATATTCTGATTCAGTGGTCTGGGGGTTGCCCATGTAATCGGCATTATTAACCAGGGCCCCAGGAGGGCTGGGATGCAGGTGGTCCTCCTGGCATACTCTAAAAAACCCCATTTAGAAGGGGTTCTACCATGCCTCCCTTCAAGTGGCACAGCAGGAACTGCAAACAGTTACTACCAAAGGGCCCAGTATATGTTCACCACTGTGCTAGATTCTCCAGATACAAAGAAAGGAGCCAAAAAAGATCAATTCAAGTTAATTACTTTATGAGGCAGCAGAACAGATTTATATGCCTGAAACCACCAATAACACAAATTACTGTGGTTTTATAAAAGAATATAACAATCATCCTTATTTTATTTTTAATAATGCCACCCAGAATGTCTGGATTCATCTCTTCAATATCCACAATGACTTCTCTGCCTTTGGGAGGGGAAATGAAACTGGTAACTTTTCCAGTCCTTAGTTAGAAGCAGAAGTAGAAAACCCCTTTGATAGCCAGCATAGAGAATATAAGGAAGTCTGCTCAAGAATATGCACCACCTCAAGTTTGGTAAAGAATGGAAAATTGAAAGCACAGATATCCATCAGTAAAGAAATGGTTAAACATTTGCCCAGCAATATGCAGTATTCATTGCAGAAAGTTCCAAATAAAGAATTCAACTTTTTCAAAAAGATTTTTAGAAACTAATTAAAAAAAACTCCAAAAATATTATTGAGTGAAAAAAAGGACTACGACGACAAGCCACAATACATGGAGTTTTCAGTATGACTTCTGACTAATGAAGGAAAAAATACTCCCATAAAATAGTAACTATTCTTTTCAAAGACATCACTTGTAAGGAGTGGGGAAAGAAGCTAAGATGGGAATGGTAACCAGACAGACCAGCTTTCTACAATATTCCTTTTTTTTTCCTAATAAGGACTTCAGAACTCATTTGCTTCAATATTCTATCCAGAGCAGGAATTTCCATGAAATATCCCAGGCACTTCTCATACCAAGAACCTTGATACTTCATGAGGGAACACATTCCCCTTCTGGACACTTATCTTTGGCTAAAAGTTCTTCCTTAGATTGCTTTAATGAACATCCGCTTTATCGTAACTTCCATCCGCTAATCCTGGTTCTACTCTCTGGAATTACTTTACCCTCCCTTCTGAAGTCCTCTAAATTTTTTAAAACAGCTATCTGAGTGCCCTGATTACTCTTTTCTCACTCAAGAGAATCCTAGATTTGTGAACTGTTCCTCAAGACTTTGAGATGCACACACACACACCCTACGCCCTTAATCACTCTCCTTGAGAAATAATCCAATGTCCAAGATAATTGGAGATGAAGTCTCCCATGCTCATGTGACCCACAGTTGCCACCCTCAGTTGTCACCGGCAATAGCCTTATAAGTAGAACAAAGAACTCAATACAACATTGCCAATATGGCAAAGAGTAGAAAATCTATTATTGCCTTTGAAAACACCATGCTTCTAAAATACACAAGATTGTTGGGTCAGAGTGGGAACTGAAAGCCCTATAGAAGGGATTCCGCACATGGATTTCAGAACCAAACTGGCAAACTTGGGGGATAAGCCATTCAACTGGTATTACCTGGGACAGTTCCTAGGTGAGCCAAAGCCTCAGAGAATAAGCCACCTGAGGGGAAGGGCCTACTCTTCCTTCACTGAAAACCCTGGTCATTGCCTTCACTGGAAACCCACTATCCTTGCCATTCGCCACAATTATCTTGACCAGGAGCCTGGACCCAAAAATAGCAAATAAGGCCACAAGGACACCTCTTAGGAACCTACAGGGGTCCTTTTATTAAGAAAAAAAAAAAAAAACTTACTCTTACTCTTTATTTCTTCTCTCTAAGCGAATTCCCCTTATGCCACTTCCCCTCAATTTCATGATCTAAAGTTGTCTTCCATCTTAAACTTCTGAAACCAGTTGAGCTGAGACAGTGATAGGTCAGATAAAAGAAAGAACCAGAGACTGTCCCTCTCTTATCACTTCTTTGGATAAAATATTACAAGCTTGGGGCACTTAGGTGGCACAGGTGGCTAAGTATCCAACTCTTGATTTGGGCTCTGGTCATGATCTCAGGATTGTGACTGAGTCCCACGTCAGGCTCCATGCTCAGCCAAGAGTCTGCTTCTCTCTCTCCTTCTGCACCACCCCCACCAACTCTCTCTAAAATAAACAAATAAATCTTAAAAAAAAATAATAACAACCTTAAGCGGGCTTTAAAAAATAAAAATAAGCTTTTTTTTTTTTTAGTAGTAAAACTTCCTCAACATTTAACAAAGGTATTAACATTCAGTAAAAATAGATCATATAAATATCATTATTATTATTATTTAATCTTTTTTGGAACTTCTTTTCCTTTATAAAATGAGCATAACAAAAACCCCCACCTCATAATGTTGCTGTAGGATCACATGAATGAACACACTTACTGTACATAGCAAGAGACAGTTCTAGCTAATATATAGCTATATTATGAGGGACTATGGCAAGCAATTTAAATATGTCATTTAATCTTCTAGAACTTTGTAAGGTAACTATACCCATTTTACAGTTGTGGAAAGTGGAGCTTAAAGATGTTGAACAGGGGCAACTGGGTGGCTCAGTGGGTTAAAGCCTCTGCCTTTGGCTCTGGACATGATCCCAGGGTCCTGGGATCAAACCCCACATCCGGCTCTCTGCTCAGCAGGGAGCCTGCTTCCCCCCCTTCTCTCTGCCTGCCTCTCTGCCTACTTGTGATCTCTGTCTGTCAAATAAATAAATAAGATCTTAAAAAAAAAAAAAGACACTGAACAATTTGTTTACAATAAGGGAGAGGTGAGATTAGAATAAAGGTTTATTTGAATCCAAAATTCACACTCTTAACCACTAAACTCAACTGCATATTTGTGTGGGGCTGAGTTGAGAGTGGAGGGAGAGTGGGATGTAATCATTCCTTTCTTCTGTCCCAGTTGTAAATTCTAACTATTGTTGGTAAGCCAAGTAAATAAATTCTACTTTAAATTGCCACTTCACCATATGAACAGTTATTATATGTCTAGAGCAGGGTAATTAATATGCTAAGACTTTGAAACAGTTCACTGTACACTTAAAATGTATTTAAAAGCATCTATTTTTAGCATATTTTTAAAAGTCTTTTTTTTTCAACACTTTGTATATTTCCTTCCCTTTTGATCGTCAAGAAGAATGGTTTCCTACTGTCAACTGATGCTTTCATATTTCCAGGCTTATTACAGCTCCTCTATCCAAGCAATATAATCCAATTAAACAAATGCATTTTCCTGGTAAGCACCTTTACCCTTACCCACCACACCCTTTCCTGATTTTCATCTCTCACAAACTGTGTTTTCATACACTAGCTAATTGGGGCAAATCAATATGTTTGAGTTTTACAGAAGTATTTCTTTTTCCAGGACAGTCCCATGTGTAGTGGCAGAATGGCTTCAAGATTGTTCAATGTAATATCCTCCTAACATAGACCAGAACTATCCTTGGTTCTGCTGTTGCTATTTTGCTAACCAAAACAAACAAAAAACAGTGAGAAAGTCATGGGAATTGCAAGGCAACGAAGTCGGCTATGCTGGCTTTTCACTCTCTTTCTCCACCCAGGCATCCAAATCTGATATGCCAAGCTTCGTTCTTATTCCAAACTTGACAAATACACAGGGCTTCATAATGTGGAAAAACACCATGACCAGACAAAGGCTTTTTATAATGAGTTCAAAGCATTGTACACATGTTAAGTAATCATTCCCCATAAATCCCCCTGTACAGTAGGCAAAGAGTAGCACAAAATTAATTATTCTTCCCTACCCCATCCCCCCATGGGATTTTAAGAGGCTTATATACATAAAGGGCAGATCAGGGAATATCACTTGGAGATTTGCAAAGATGTCCTCCATGAATCAGATCACTCTATTCCAAGCATTCATTAACCACCATGTCCAAAACAACTGTGATACCTCTTTTTCAAATGTGAGAGACAAGACATACATAGAGAGAATGCCAAGCAGTGCTCTACATGTAACACGAGATCTAAGTACTGAGCTTAAGCACAATGCTTGCAACTACTTTAACAGACTCCAGGAATCATTAGTTCACTCAACAAATATTTATTAAGCCCATAAGTAATGTACCAAATTGGTTTATGCTCAGAAAGCTTACTAGATCAAATGGATTGTGAAATATCATTCTCAGTACAGAACTAAAGTTTGGAGATGGGGGGAGGAGGAATGGTGAAGATGTGCAACTGAACTGGGAATATGCCAATTACACATAAATCAGAAAGATTTCTTGAGTGGTATCATCATATGTTGGTGACCTGAAATAATGGTTAGTCTATAAAATACCTAAAGTGCTTTATCAGAAGAGGGATTTAGAGCATTAAAATTTTACTATTCCTTGAATGGAGGAAAAACACAATGTTACTCTAAAATCATTTCCCACCTAAAAAGCAAGCAACAATATAGTTAGGTAGTGTTTACTCCTATAGAGAATGACATTTGCAAAGAAAGAAAATGAAGATCAACTCATATTTTTTTTTGTCTACTAAATACCCAATACTCAGCCTGTTGGAAGTAACAAAACATAGTACTACTGACTTTAAAGATCAAAAAGAACTCTATGAGAGAGGTTTTTTTTAGAATCTGGAATTATATAAATGTTTAAAAAAAATCACAATAATATATATATTTTTTTCAAATGAAAAAACGTTTTGCTGGCTTAAAAAAATGGTGAGCTAGAAAATTCCGTGTTTTAAATTGAAAAGCTAGTTTAAAAACCCTGTAATACTTACCTGTCCAACTCTCCCTGGATGTTTCAAGGCCAAGCCTCCACTGGAGACAGCAGCAGCAACGTTCCCTTCATGGTCCACCACTACAGCGCCCACTGTGTCCAAAGTGCCTGAGTCATTCTCCTGGAAAGTGAACAGGATATGAGCACTCACTGAGCACAGAGTGTCACAATTTGATATGACCACACAGCACTTTTCAATACAATCATGACATAATTCAGCAAACTCTTAATCTATTAATCTATTATTGAGTTATTAATATTAACCTATTAATATTAATTAATCTATTAATATTAGTACCAATCTATTATCAAGTTGCCACTAAAACCCTGTTCAAGTCAAAATGTATTTTCTACTGAAAGATCCTGAGCAAAAAGTGTCTTGTTGCTTTTCTCTAATAATAAACCTAGCATTCCTAAGGGAGAAAGAAAAAACACAATCTAATATAAAATAGCATATCGCAGTGTCCCCTTAATCTCAGGTATTAAGTTCATGATTGAAAATTTGTAAGAGGAGAAGATCTATGGCATAAATGAACCAATAAGTACCATTTTTAGTACTTCTAAAAATATTGTATATAAATTTCTAAAAATAATATATTTAATACAATAAATAAAGAGAATGGTGGTCACAATTTGAAGTATACAATGTTACAATTTTCTTTTATAATTCCTTGCTTGTGAGAAATTGATGGCCACCTCCTTCCTCTGCTGTATTAATAATATGCTTGCCAACTATATAGCAGAAAATTGTACATTCCTGGGAGGTATCTTTGCATTTCTGTATCTTGTCCCAAGTCCCACAAGCTTAAGGCTTTTCACATATATTGACTACAAGCAGCTGTCTCCTACCTCAAAGATTTCTGGGTCACCTGTGCAAGACAGACAAACCTTACAATTCTGGATAAAAATCAGAATCACAGAAAACAGGGAAAAAGTTTCAAAAAAAAAATCTCTTCGTGTATATTAACAAGAGAGGCTACTGCAGTTCTTTAGGTTAACAACAGTCATTGCAACATTCTCACTCTAGAGTTCTGGTTTTTAAACTATGCCCCACAACCCAAGACTCCCACCTTTACCCCCACCCCCAAAAATGCATAAAAGAGCCCAGGCACAACTCCAGGCTCAACAAGACCAGCTCCTCCTCCTGCGTAGTTTATTGCCCATACTGCTGAGCAATACTTCATTTGTACAGAGGGATCCCTGGCTAACGAGTTTTCAAATGACACTCTCAGGCAATCCCCAGAAAAGTCAGTGAGTTCCTAGGGCCACCTTAGAAGGTGAGCAACATTGAAGGGAGTTCTGAAATAGTGGGGACACAATGCAAGCAAAAGTTTTTTACTTCAAGCAAATTTAAAAATCCAGAAGTAGAGTATGCCTCAACAAATATTACATGAAGTCTGTTAGGAGAAGGTACATCTAGACATTTACATTTCTTTGGTTTTTGCTCTAGATTCTAACTCCTCTTAAATATACTGATAACACTAGGACACTACTTACTTTAATAGAAAACATGTAGCTGACTGAAATAAGTGCTTTATTCCCTCTCTCCCTTTTAACCACAGCCAGGGGAAGTCTAGGCCATATCCAGGAATACCACAGTTGCGCAGGTGGCAGACTGCCTGAGTTTCGAAGATAGCTCCCTAACCTGACTGTAAACTCTCTGAGGAAAGGGCTGACTGACTGATTTTACATACAGCAGACATGAAGGGATACTTAGTCTTCAGTTAGGAGGATATAAAGCATGTCTGCATCCAGGGTGTCACAGAAACAAGAAAAACAAGTGATGATACATGCAAGGCTATTCTAATATCAAGGCCTCAGTTTTCCATCTCTTTTCTCAACACTCAGTTTCATGCAAATCCAGAGGATGCCACTACCTTAGGGAAGACTTAACAATAACTAGGTTTCCTCATTTGCTATGGAAGAAGTAAAGTTTATTTTCTTTGGTAGATAAGATAAAAGTATAAAAGTAAAGAATTGCATTAGGCATTTTATTCCAGGAAAAAAAAAAAAAAAGAATAACCCTAAAGAGAAATGTACTTTAAAGGGGAAACATTTCCTTCATTATTCTAGGAAATAATTCCTATATCTTTATACCCTTGCAACCTCAAATAGAGATGTGTCTGTTCCTTTCCAGATGCCAAGTCTTATGTCTTCGACAGGAGGCCTTCTCCAAGTTTAATGTACACACAAATCATCTGAGAATCTGTTAAATGCAGATTCTGATTAAGTAATCTGGCACTGGTCAAGACTCTCCACTTAACAACCTCTCCAGCAATGCTGATATTGCTGGTCCTCAGACCCTACCTTAAGAAACAAGGTCAAATAGCATCCTATGGGATTCATTATCAGCCAAACATCTGCTCTACTCATTTTAAGGCAAATAAGTTTATGGGCACAAATCTGCTGAAGGAGAAACTTCAGCATTAGCATTATGTCAACATAAAAGATTTAAGGTCTATCTGGTGCAACTATAAATTGGCAGCATATCACCATGATCGTACCACAATGAACATACTGTAAAGTACCTTAAAGTACTGATCTCATACTGGTTCTTTTAGAAACAGAGAACTCTCACACAAATAAACAGAAACTATAAAATACTTTCCTTAACAACAATAAAGCCAAGAAAGGGTATTCTTCATTAGTTCTTTATTAACTGTGACTGCTGATCCCAAGCATTCTGTAAAACGGAATTTTAGCTGAGGGGATAGATAATGTATACACAATGATATATATTACTTATGAAACAATTTTCTTAGCATTTCATTATAAACTATAAGGACTCTTATCTAATCAAACTACTAGAGAAAGATACAAAAATATTACATGTAGATGGATTTACTGTAACTTGGTTTTTAAGAATGAAAAATCAAGCAAAAACTACAGAATGCTGTTCCAAATTAAGCTAAATATTCCTAGAGGCTTGCAACACCTGCAAAAATCAGAATTACTTCATAAATATTCAAGAATTAGTTCATAGATTTCATATACTGAAAGGCAAATTTAAGGATGATGAAGTAAGATTTAAGCATTTTTATGAAGTGTAGATAAATTGAGTGAAAGACAAACACTGGTATTTTAGCCATAATAATTTCACAGAACTCATTTGTACAGAAATGAAATCTTAGAAAGGTTAAAAAACACACAATGACTGTTAGTATATAGAGCTACTATTATGCTCTTACACTCCATAAATACTTAAAAGTACATGCTCCACATAGGTACACATGTACCTATTGTCCTCAACTGAAACACGCTATTTCCAATACTTATTTGATAAAATAGTGACTAAAAAGCAACTATATAAATCATACAGTTCCCCTTATAATAAACACATGTATATTAAGTTGGCATAGAGATTACATGTGTTATGAAAAACACGGAAATAAAACTTTCTTCAACTCACCAATAAACTAGTAATCATGTTGGGCTTAATGTCAAAAGTTTTAATTTTTCTCTGCCCTAATCTGGAGATGGCTATTACAGAATCACTGTAAAATTAAATTAAGTAACACATAACTACATCAAAAAGAACAAATCACTTAAAGTGTAGGTACTTCGCACCATAAAATTATGTTTCTAATCTGTGTTCTAACTCTGAAATCTGCCAAGAGACATCATCTATCAGTTACCTATCTCATTAACCTGGCCTTTCTTCTATACAGAATTACTCAAGTATCAGATAGCTAAAATGCAAGAATAATATCTCAAACATATAAGTGCATCCTGAAACTGGTAGTCAGTGGAAATAACCCAATACAATAATAAAAACAAATTTTTTTAAAAGATCCCAAATCTTCAACATACACCTTTGTTAGGATTATGAGCAAGATTATAACTGGCATGAGTTTCCACTTGAGAAAAGCAGATGACTTACGCCCTCCATGACAGTACATTAATGGCAGCATAGAGCTTTACGTCTTTGAATATTCTAACCATGGAATTAGTTCCAGCTATCAGTGACCTAGACTGGCTCCATGTCTATCTCCCAAAAACCAGCCCCACAGTGGGGCCACCAGAGGATTAAAAATATTAGGAATGGGTAAACAAAGTATGATTTAGTTAGAATTATCTACTCTTGTGTATCTGGCTTGGCTGAAACCAAGGAAAATTTGGAAATAAGAATACCCAATGACCTTTTCCCTCTCTCCAAAGAAAATCACCCTTCTGGGGAAGAAAAACTGAATGGGAAGAAATCAGAGAGGGAGACAAACCATGACAGACTCTTGATTCCAGGAAACAAACTGAGGGTTGTGGAAAGGAAGGTGGGTGGGGGGATGGGGTAACTGTGTGATGGGTATTAAGGAGGGCACAGGATGTGATGAGCACCAGGTGTTATACACAACTAATGAATCACTGAAGATTATATCCAAAACTAATAATGTATTATATGTGCACTAATTGAATTTAAATTAAAAAAAGAAAATCACCCTTCTGATGCCCAGTACTATAAATGATGTTTCTGTTAATTATAGTCAAGATGTCTATTCTTAAATAATCCCTTATTTTCTTTGCTTAATAAGTATGCATTAAATATCTTTGCAACACTACACAAATTAGAGTCAAACATATCTACTACAGAGAAAAAAATTACTTTTTTTTCAGAGAAAAAAATTATTAAAAAATTGTTATTTATTCCTTAAATCACTCAACAAAAGTTACCAGAAACATTTTTAGCTCAAAATAAAAATGAAGTGGGTTAACCATGCTTTTAAGGGGCTTTAATATATCTACACTACACAACTTTAATTAAAAGTTCATACCATAACAAAGCTCCAAAGGATTACCTAAAAATTCTAAACCCTGAAATACAGCAGAAGACAATGTTTTCCAAATGGCAGAACACCTAGACAGTCTTCTGAGGCTTGCAACATTCGAGGTAGAAAAAGCCATGGTTTTAATCTTGGTTTTTAAAATAATATTTCAAATAATGAACTAAGGGTTTGTTTGTTTCAAAATGGAGCAGTTTGAGAGCCTCAGTGTGCATGCTGAGAGTGCACATGTAAGTGATGGAAGAGACCAGATGAACATACTCATGACTTAAATTATTACATATCTGAAGAGTAAAAACCACAAGGGTAGTTTCATACAGCTTTAAATCATTTTTATTCTTATTCA